AATTTAAGATCTTATCACAGGAGTTTTGGGAAAACAGGAAATGCTGTCAGTCTAATGCATCCCTAACTTTATCTGTCGCTGTGTATTCTGTGGATCTAGAGCGTAAAAAGGGAAACTGGGCTAAACCAGCATGGACAAATGTCACCCATGTGTGCAGTAACTCAGTTTGTATACCACAGAACACCACAAACTGTGTGGGGTTTATACAAATGCACTAGAAAATTAGAGAACTAACTAAGTAGCTGAACTAAATCTGTAATGTAGTGATACTAAATTACTAGTAATCATCAGGATTGGCAGGTCACACTGAGATAGGTAATGTTGGGTACACCTTTAACTGAGTCACTCAAAAGTTCCTGAAAGGTTGTTAAGAAACTTTAATTGCACTCTGTCACCTGGCCAAAAAGGCCGTTCCTGTTTTGTTCTTTCTCTTTTTTTTTCTATAAAGTTGCCTAGCTGACTAATGAACTCTTTATCTGTATTTCTGTAGGTTGAGAGGGAAAAAGTTGCCCTGATCAACTCTCTGCAGGAGAGCCAGAAGCAGCTGGAACAGGCCTATGGGACTGTGTCCGAGCAAAAGGAAACGGTCAACAGGTTGACTGAAAATCTAAGTGCAATGAGGAAACTTCAGGCCAGTAAGGAGCGGCAGTCTGCCCTCGACAGTGAGAAAGACAGGGACAGCCATGACGACGGAGACTACTATGAACTGGACATTAACGGGCCTGAGATTCTGCAGTGTAAATACACCGTTGCAGTGTCTGAAGCTGGAGAACTGAGGCAAGAGCTGAAAACACTGAGGGCGCAATACGAGGAGTGTCGAACCCAATATGAAGATGAGCGAGCGCGGCTGGAGAGCGACGTCCAGGACTTGAGGTCAAAGCTGTCATCCTTGGAGAAAATTAGCCAAGCAGATAAAGCAGCGATGTCACGTCTGGAGAGGGAGCTCCGTCTGGCCAGCGAAGCTGCAGGAGAGTCGCTTGGCAGCCTTAATGTGGCGCAGGATGAGCTCGTAGCCTTCAGTGAAGAGCTGGCCAATCTCTACAACCACGTGTGCATGTGCAACAATGAAACCCCTAACCGCGTCATGCTCGACTATTACAAGGAAGGCAAGGCCATCGTAAGAAAGGGGCAAGAAGCAAAGGATCACCAGTCAGTACTTCTCACTAACGGGTTAATCGGTGAGACTGAATCTGGAAAGTCCGACTCCGGCAGCGCAGCAGTTACTGCAGCTCCAGCACACGAGCACCGGCCGGAACCCATGAACATCTATAACCTTGTTGCTATTATCAGGGACCAGATCCGCCACCTGCAGCAAGCGGTGGACCGCACCACAGAGCTGTCACGTCAGAGACTTGCCAACCTGGAACTGAGCGCAGTGGCTGACAAAGACAAAGAAGCGTGCATGGAGGAGATTCTCAAACTGAAATCCCTGCTTAGTACCAAAAGGGAGCAGATTGCCACTCTCAGAGCTGTTCTCAAGGCCAACAAACAGGTGGGAGGATGGTTTGTGTATGTGTCAGGGGAACGATGTTTATTAATACACACATAGAATAGAATAGCGATGCAAAAACCACAGAATTTAAAAACTGCAGAACTTTACATTAATCTTTTTATGTTGTTCCCTTCAGACAGCTGAGGTTGCTCTGGCCAACCTCAAGAGTAAGTATGACAGTGAGAAGACCATGGTGACCGAGACTATGATGAAGCTCCGTAATGAGCTCAAGGCTTTGAAAGAGGACGCAGCTACGTTCTCATCTCTCCGGGCCATGTTTGCTACAAGGTACGACACATACTTTCAATGTAAATCAGCCATTATGTACATAAATTGGGCAAATATAATTTAAAAATAAATAAATAAATCAGGTGGCTCAGACCAAACGAATCCTTCTCTGTTACAGGAGACATTAAAAAGAACATTGATATAGATTTGGAATATTTCTGCTTTTCACTCGAGAAAAAATATTTTGCGTTTCTGTGTATTTCTCTGAGAAAGATGCAAAGCATTGTGGGAGCAGTCTGATGTAATACTTGTGCAGTCAGTTAGCGTGGTAATCATCCTCCCATCTGGAAAATGCAGTCTGGGGAATCATGACAGCCGCAGTAGTTTGAGGCAAATTGCTCCACCTGCTGGCAGTAAAGTTTACCCCCTCTTCT